AGCATCTTAGCTGTGGAGGGCAGTGTCACTGGCCCTCATATATGGGATCCGAACCGGGGCCCTCTGGCGTCCCAAGCCAGTTCTTAACCATCGTGCCACTCGGCCGGCCCTAAATGTCTGTTTTTTAAGCCACCCGGCCTGCAGTGTTTGTTACATCAGCCAGAGCTGACATAGGTAGTGGTAATTGCTGTGGGAAAAAATATAGCAGGAAAGGGGGACAGGAGCCCAGGAAAAGGAGGAGTTTTGAGGGCAGTCACACTGCGGGGGTGACATTTGAATAAAGTCCTCAAAAAGGTTGAGAGAGAGCCATGCAAATATCTCAGGGAAGAGAGGGAACAGCAAGTGCAAAGGTCCTTAGGTGGGGGCCGGCCGAATGACTCAGCTGGTTAAGAGCTCGCTTGGGAACTCGAGCTCTGAGCAGCAGGGCTGCAGTTCGGATCCCACATTGAGGGCCAGCTGGCCCTCTACAGCTAAGATGATGAACAACAGCTGGACCTGGAGCTGGGCTGCTGCGAGTCGCCGGCGACGGTGTAGGCTGCAGCAGGGCTGCAGTGGGCTGCCGTGAGCTACATGAGTGGCTGGCAGCCAGCGTGAGTGGCTGGCAGCCGGTGTGAGTTGCAGTGAGTGGCTGTCCAATGACTGGTGACCGATCTGCCTCATCCTGGAAGAGCACAATGATCATACCAACATGGGCCAGTCTTAAAAACAAACAAACAAAAAACATGGGCCAGTGAAGCGAAGTCCTCCACAACTAGCCTGAAAAACAAAAACAGCAATTTGTCTGTCTGTTCCCCTTCCCTGATTCCCCAACGCTGTTCCCCTCCCCCCAATTCCCCAATAAAATCTTAAAAAAAAAAAAAAAGGTCCTTAGGTGGGACAGTACCTGCTGAGTTTGAGAAAGGAAGCAGGTAGGTATCGCTGAAGGGAAGTGAGTGAGGGGAGAGCATAGGGAAAGTCAGGGAGGTGACTATTCTTTTACATCTTCATGGCCCACACCCTCATCCAAATCCTGTTCTGACTTCCTTCAGCCAGCTGAGGACATCCCTGGACTGGCCACTAGAGGCCACCCTCTCTGTGGTTCACAGAGTTTACCTGTCTTCTTGCCCTTCAGGCTTTCGCTGGGCCCTAACTGTACCTTAAATGTCACTCTAAGAAGTTTACACGGATGATTTCAGTTTCTTCTTCTGACATTTTTCTGAATTAGATGCACTGAATAATTTTTACAGCTTTACTGAAGCATAATTGACATACAACAAACAACATACAAGGGTACACTCCAATGAGTTTTCACATTCTGGAAATCGTCACCAAAATTCAGATACTAAACATACCCACGACCCCAAAAAGTATCCTGTCGACCTTTTAAAATTCCTCCCTCTCGCCTCTCCCCACCCCATCCCTAGACAACCACTGATGGTATTAGGAGATTGCACTTTCTAGAGTTTGATATAGATGGGACCATAGAGTATATACTCTTCTTTTTTGTCTGGTTTCTTTCCCTCAGCAAGATTGTTAGAAAGATTCGTCTATGTTGTGGCGTGTATTTGTGCCCCCTTTAGCTCCTGGGGAAACAGAGGCACACAGAGGAGGGGGGAAGTGGGGTAGGGAGGAAGTGTCACACACAGGTTTGGCCCGAGGCGGAGGCCGGTTCTGGGTGCACAGCTCGCAGAGGGGCGCCGTGGTCCCCCGGGAGACTCAGGCAGGTACAGACCCCCGCTGGGGCCCCGCCAAGCGGTCAGTCCCCAGCGCGCAGGCGGGGGCGGAGCCGGGGCGGAGCTCCCCAGCTCTGGGGCCTCCGATAAGGGCCTGCAGGGGCTCGGCGCTCTTGGGCGCTGCGATAAGGCTGCACGTGGGCGTGGGGGGCGTGGGGCGCCGCCACGTCTGGAGGCCCCAGCTTGGCCACCTGGGACGGGGCCGGAGACCTGGCTGGGGGCGGGGGCGGGGCATCCGGAGCAGTCACGCCCGCCTTCCTCCCGAGTCAGAGCCGCTAAAATGGCGGCGGTGACAGCGTCCCGTGCCGGACTTGGGGTCCTGGTCGCCGCGTCGGGGGCCGACTAGCGCCTTCCTAGGCGCTCGCATCCTGTCCGCGAACTGGTCCCCGGGGCGCTAGCGCGCGGCCCCCACCCGGACCCTCGGCCGCCCACCACCACCCCTCCGGCGCGCCCATGAACTCCATATCGCCGGCGGCCGTGCAGTACCGGAGCGGGAGCCCAGAGGACGCGCGCCACCCCGAGGGCCGCAGACCGAGAGGGCCCCGAGTCCCGGACCCCAACGGCCTGGGGTCCTCTGAAGCCAGCGGCCCCGCTCTGGGCTCCTCCGCGGCAGCCCCGGGGGAGCCGGACGAAGTGGACAAGTTTAAGGCGAAGTTCCTGACTGCCTGGAACAACGTCAAGTACGGTGAGGAGGGGGCGGGCCCAGGGGGCTGGGTTCTGCGGTGCGAGGATTCGGCCAGGCTTAGAGGTCGGTGGAAGTCAAGGAATCAGACCCTGCCCTGTTTTCCAAGTATTCCACCATTTGTTCTCCTGTGAGTCACCTGTGGGTCCCCCGCCCTGCCTGCCCGCCCAGCCCTGCCCAGGGCGGATCTGTGGCAGGTCCACCAGGGACTGTGTTTTCAAATCTTGTCCGTTCCTCTGTGACCTTGAGCAAGCTTTTTTGCTTCCCTGTGCTTCCACTTTTCCCTTCTGTAAAATGGGTACAATAATTAGAACTGCCTTAATTCATCCTGAATTGATGACAAACACTGGTGAGGCTATTGCTAGAGGGCCTGCCTTCATCTAAGAGGAATGTGACATGGATTCTCTAGTGCCACCCCTGAGGTGGGAAATAGAATGGTTCCCATTTCACACAGGTGGGGGACATGAGTACTGTCGCTGCCATAACTGTGATGTTGCATGTCCAACATCTTGCTGGCCCACGTCTCCGCAGGTTGGGCAGTCAAAAGCCGGACCAGCTTTAGCAAGATCTCCAGTGTCCACCTGTGCGGCCGCCGCTACCGCTTCGAGAGCGAGGGTGAGCTGGTAGTCCCAGACCAGGGTAGAGGGAGGCACTCAGGGGTGTTCCTGGTGGCAGTTGACAAGCCTGCTCTTGTAGGTGACATCCAGCGTTTCCAGCGGGACTTCATGTCCCGCCTGTGGCTCACATACCGCCGGGACTTCCCGCCTCTCGCTGGGGGCTGTCTGACCTCGGACTGTGGCTGGGGCTGCATGTTACGCAGTGGGCAGATGATGCTGGCACAGGGCCTCCTGCTGCATTTCCTGTCCAGAGGTGAGGGGCAGAGGGGGAAGTGCACACCAGGAATACAAGCTAACCACATAGGTCAGCAGTGTTAGAATTGTTTGTAAACTAAGAGTTTAAATTCATGTTAGAATTGTGTGTAAAGTAAGTTTTGTGTATGTGTGTGTGTGGCGGGGATGGGGGTGGGTGGCTGTTAGAGTTGTTTATCAAGTTTCAGGAATGTGAAAATTGTTAAACATAGGATCCCAGGAGCATTAGAATTGTGTGTAAAGCATGAGTAAATGGGAACTGTGCCCCCCACACATTGACACCAGTTGACTATGTATTTTATCCCCACCAGACTGGACGTGGGCCAAGAACATGGCCCTGGGCCCCCCTGAGCCGTCAGGGTTGGCCTCTCCCAACCGGCACCATGGGCCTGCTTGCTGGATGCCCCCTTGCTGGGCCCAGGGCAGTCCTGAGGTGGAGCAGGAATGCCGGCACCGGCAGATTGTGTCCTGGTTCGCTGACCACCCAAAAGCCCCCTTTGGCCTACACCAGCTGGTGGAGCTCGGGCAGAGCTCAGGCAAGAAGGCAGGTGACTGGTATGGGCCATCTGTTGTGGCACATATACTCAGGTGAGGGTCGCAATAGGGGACATGGGAGCCACTGGGTACCCCCAGAAACTCATGCCTTTCCTCCCGCCCCTAGGAAAGCTGTTGAGAACTGCTCAGAGGTCACCCGCTTGGTGGTGTACGTTTCTCAGGACTGCACAGGTAAGGGGCTGGGAACCAAGGTCATGGGGTTCTCACCCTCAGCCAGTCACTACCTCAGCTGCCTTTTAGGACCCACCCTTCTCAGAGGCTGAAACAAATTCTGGGTCTGAGGGACCCTTGGAAAGGATTCAAGGCTTACACTGGGAAATGCTCAGGATCCCTCCACTCCTTCTGAAGGAAACTTCAAAGGCTGCTCCCAAGAGACAGAATAAAAGACATAAGGACTTCTTTCTCTCAAGTCCAATTAACTCTTACTCTGTAAACAGTTCTAACATGTACAAAAGTCTGGTCTCCTCTGCCTCGTAGGGTTGTTATAAGAATTAAATGAGTCGATAATACAAGTTAAATCCATAGAGCAGTGTTTGTCACATAGTAAATGTTCCCTGCCATCCTCCAAATCAGCCTAGGAAGGGTCTTAATTAATAGGAGTCTCCATGGGTTGGTATCAGGGAATCTACAAAAACTGAATTTTTATACAAAATTGTAGGGGTTTGGGGCAAGTTTCAATTTTCACGGAGAGTCGTTGTCTTAGTCCATTCAGGCTGCTGTAACAAAAATAGCACAGATTTGGTGACTTATAAACAATAGGAATTTATTTCTCATGATTTTGGAGATTGGGAAGTCCAAGATCAAGGTGCAGGCAGATTTGATGTCTGGTGGGAGCCCACTCCTTGTTTCATTTTGCTTTGTCCTCACATGGCAGAATAGGCAAACAAGCTCTCTGGGGTCTCATTTTTGTTTTGTTTTCATTGAGGTATAATTGACGTATTAGTTTCAGGTATACAATATCATGATTTGATATTTGTGAACATTGCAAAATGATCACCACAATGTTTAGTTAACATCTGTCACTCCACATAGTTTTAAAAAATTGGGGATTACCTCTTTTATAAGGGCACTAATCCTATTCTTAAGGACTCTACCCTCAAAAACCTAATCACCTCCCAAAGGCCGTACCTCCACATGCCATCACCTTGGTGTTAGGATTTCAATACACAAATTTTGGAGGACTTAAGTGTTCCGATTATAGCAGCTGTGTCTCCAGAAAGGGCTGAGTCTACTTCTTTGGTCCCCTGCAAGGGAGGAGGGGGAGAACAGAAAATATTAGACTTAAGGAGGAGGGACACACGGGGCCTTCGGTTGAGGACTGTTCTGTACTTCCATTTCCGTATTGGCAAACCCAGGTGCCAAGTCAGTGAGGACCAGTCAGGCCTGGGATTGGGGAAGGTTCCACCTCCTCCTGGCTGTATGTTCTTCGTCCAACTCTTAGGGCCTTGGATGCTCTCTCTGTATAATGGGGGTGTCCACACCTGTCTGGAGGCCCTGGGATTATCTGGGGGAGTCTGGGCTCTGCAAAGATGTTCTCTACTGATGATGGGAGTGTCATGCTCCTAGAGGTTGCTCAGGCGAGGTTGGGCCTGTGGGGATGGAGGGCCACACTCTGAAGCTTGAAGGGTGGTGAGAAGCTGACCTGCTGCCCTATCCTTCCAGTGTACAAGGCGGATGTGGCACGCCTGGTGGCTAGACCAGACCCTACAGCTGAGTGGAAGTCTGTGGTCATCCTGGTGCCCGTGCGGCTGGGTGGCGAGACTCTCAACCCCGTGTATGTGCCCTGTGTGAAGGTAGGTTCAGCCAGATTCCATCGGGCCTCCCTCCAGGAGCCCTCCAGGTTTTTTTGCTTGGGTTAGATATACATATGTGCTTCCTTCATTCCTTCATCTGTTTATCCAATAGTTAAGGGCACCTGTTAATGTGCCAAGTACTCTCCTAGCTGCTGGGGATTCAGATGTGAACAGGGAAAAATTCATGCCCTCTGGGAGTGGACATTCTAATGGAATGACAGGCAGTGGATTTGGAACCAAATAGACAGTTTGGCATTACAACTTGGACTGTAAAGGAACGAAAACTAACGATAAAGGTCAGAGTGGGGTGGCTGCGCAGCCTGGGAAAGCCCCTCTCCTGCCAGGGGCACACAAGGAGGAGTGCTCCAGGCAAAGGGAACGGCAAGGCTGGAAAGACCCTGGTGTGTGTGCACTCAGAACAAAGGCTACAGATCTCCCCACAGCCCACAGGGCCCCGAACCATGCCCTTGACCCTTCTTGACTTCATTTGCTCCCACTCTTTTCACGCACTCTGCTGCAGCCACACAGCCCTCCTCACTGTTCTCAGAACACACCTGCCTCGAAACCTTTGCACTTACTGTTTCCCAAGATGCATTTTTTTTTTTTAAAGATTTTTTTGGGGAATTGGGGAAGGGGAGCATGGTGTTTTTCCAGGACCCATCAGCTCCAAGTCAAGTTGTTGTCCTTCAATCTTAGTTGTGGAGGGTGCAAGCTCAGCTCCAAGTCCAGTTGCCGCTTTCAATCTAGTTGCGGGGGGGCGGGGGGTGCAGCCCACCATCCCATGGGGAGTTGAACCAGCAACCTTGTTAAGAGCTGCGCTCTCACCAGCTGAGCCATCCGAGTACCTGATAGCAGCTCAGCTTGGGCGCAGCTCACTGGCCCATGTGGGAATCGAACCGGCAACCTCAGAGCTCGTGTTCTAACCAACTGTGCCACCCAGCCGGCCCCCAAGATGCACTCTTAACTCCCTATCTTTGCTGAAACATTACTCCCCAGCGAGGCCTTTATTGACTCCCCTATCTATAATTGCAAAGCTCCCTCTCCTCCTCTGTTGTTCTCCCTGTTATCACCTTCTGACACATAACTCACGGCTCTTGTTCCTTGTCTCCCACACATCAGCTCCATAAGGCAGTGGTTTTGTCTGTCCTGGTCACTACTGCTCCCAGGGCCCAGCACAGACCTGGGCTTGCACACATTGGGCATTTGCTAAGCGTTTGTTTAGTGACTGCCTGACAGCACCTGCCCTGAGTCCTCATCTTTGCCCATTCTCCTCCCTACAGGAGCTCCTACGTTCAGAGCTGTGCCTGGGCATCATGGGGGGCAAGCCGCGGCACTCACTGTACTTCATCGGCTACCAGGGTAGGCCTGCCCCATCCAGCTCCATCCCACCCCACCTTCCCCTTCCCCAGCCCTGCTCAGTCCTCCTTTCCTGCAGATGACTTCCTGCTCTACCTGGACCCCCACTACTGCCAGCCCACTGTGGATGTCAGCCAGGCCGACTTCCCCCTGGAGGTGAGCTAGGACCCCAGGGTGGGGTTGGGGGCATGTGGAGGGAGCTGGGGCCCCCTGAGCTTCCCTCATTTGTCTGCCCCAGTCCTTCCATTGCACCTCACCCCGCAAGATGGCCTTCGCCAAGATGGACCCAAGCTGTACTGTGGGGTTCTATGCTGGAGACAGGAAGGAGTTTGAGACACTGTGCTCAGAACTGACTAGGGTGAGCAAGAGTGGTGGGGGGGGGGAAGGGGCAGGGTTGGGGTGGGAGAGGAAGAGAGCCCTAAGGTCAACACACCTGCTTTCTAGACTGTTAGCAAGATTGTCATCCTACCCACTTGCTACACTAGCCTAGCTCTGAATAGACCCAGAAAAAAGGGGCATAATATGAAAATTTAGGGGCATTGCTGCCTTGGGGAACAGCTGCATTCAGCTCAAATGGCAGGACCTCTCCGTCTCTAGGCTTTACTGTCCCATCAGGGCTTTACCCTTTTGGTGGCAAGTGTTGGCACCTACCTCCTAGTTCAGTGGAAAGGGAGCCCCCTTTCACAGCAAAACTTCCAGGGCTGCCTTTCATTGGCTGGTCACATGCTCATCACTGAACCAGTCACTGTTCTAGGGAAGAGGTGCTAATTGGCTGGCCAGGGTCATTGCCCTAGAGCAGGGGTTGGCAAATTTTTGAGACAGAAGAGCCAATCCTGTCCCTCTCAAAAATTTAAAAATTAGTCAAGAGCCATAAAACAAATCCATTATGTGAATAATATCCTTTAAAAATTTTATAAATGAAACTATGATAGTTTTATTTTCATTTTCAATTTTACTTCAGAGCCACAGTTCGCAAGCCAGTTTGCTGACCCCTGGGCTAGAGGGATGGGATCTGAGTTCAGGCAGCACCTTTTAAATATACCTGTTAGGATAGCTATGCAGGATAAGTAACAAGGCTACTACTTTTAAGCTTCTCTCTTCCTCCTCCCACCAGGTCCTCAGTTCCTCCTCGGCTACAGAGCGGTATCCCATGTTCACCCTGGCTGAGGGCCATGCTCAGGACCACAGCCTGGACAACCTCTGCTCCCAGCTCTCCCAACCAGCTTTGCAGCTTTCTCGAACTGGGCGGCTCCTCAAGGCTAAGCGCCCAAGCTCGGAGGACTTTGTGTTTTTATAAAGGGATGGGATGGGGTAGAAGATGGAACACACACTATTTATTTTTTTATTTATGTCACACTGGGTGTGGGAGTTTGTTGAACTCTGGTGGTGATGGGACTTTTCCTCTTGATAAGAGTAGCTGAGACCAGCCCTGGAAACCTCCAGGCTGGGGCCATTCAGCTAGGGACAGAGCCTGCAGGCCCGCCTCCCACCAGCTGGGCCCTCCTCACAGGGCAGAGGGAAGGCGGGCTCCTGGGCAACAACTCAGGGCCTGACTCAAGTACTGTAGTTTGCACTGGACCACCCGTGCCTGTCACTGGTCTTGAAGCCCCTGTCCTTCCAAGGGCTGGTGGCCATGGGGGGAACTGCGGCTGCTGGGGGCTAATAAAGCCGTCTGACTTGACCTTAGCTATGGCTGGAGCCAGCATTTAAGAAACGGGGCACAGGGTATCTCAAGGTGAGGTTTCCAAGTCAGGAAAGTGGGGAGCTTGTTAAATGTGCCTCAGCTTCCATATCTGTAAGATGGGAATTCTCCCTTGCCCACAGATAAGACATGTGGGTCTTTATAGTCAATAAGAGGGCAATACATTTGGGGGCTTAATTGGAGGAAAGGAATCTGGGGGCCCCTGCCTGCTCCATCAAGCTCAGGGGCCATTCTTGGGCCCCTGTTGCTTCCTCCGTTGCCGGCCCAGCAGGCGGAAGTGCAGCCGTTTTGGATTAAGGCCAAAGGCTTGCAGTCTCTGACGGCTGAACTCGTGTCCACCAAGCGTCACTGTGGGGCCCAGGAGATGAGCCTTCTTGCCCCTCCTGTGCCTCTGGGGAGCTGGCTTCTCAGTGGGTGACACAGGGACCGCCTCTTCCTTTGCTGGGGGGCTCTCAGGCTGGAGCCGCTTCCCACAGGCCCCATCAGGTGCCAGCAGCTGCCCCTGCGGGCTGTCTTTGTCTCTCTGTGGCTTCTCTGTGGCTTCCGTGGGTGTCTCTGTCCTGGAGGAGGAAAGTTGGGGCTCAAGCCAGGCACGATTAGGCCTGTTCCAGGGCACACATCCCCCATTTTACAGATGAGGAAAGGAGAGGAACAGAGAGATGGCAATGCAGCAATTCAAGGGCCTGCCTGGAATTCAAACCCGAGGCTAACACCAAAACCAGGGTTTTTCTATTAAACCCTGACGCTAAACTGTTGCTGATAATTCTGGTATTGAGCCCAGGCCTACACTAAGCTATACACATAAATTAACTCATTTCAGCTTAAAACCAACTCTGTGAACGCCTATCACCCCTGCTTTATGTATAGACCAGGAAATAACATGATAACAGTTGCTAAAACCTGTTTAGCATTTACTATGTTTTAAGTACTTCTCAGGAATGGATTTACTTAATCCTCAAAAAACCCAACAGGAAAAGAGCCATCTTTATCCCCATTTTATAAACGAGGAAACGCCCTAGAGGGGAAGTGACACCCAAGGTCACACAGCTGTAGCCCAGCCAGAATTTGAATCCAGGTCTCAGAGAAGGGAGGCACATTCCCAAGGTCATGCAACAAATGGCTGACAGAGCAACATAAAAACCCCTTTGGGCCTGGCGGGCTCCCCAGCCCACCCTCCCCCAGCCAGCAACACTCACTCTGGGCAGAGTGACTTGAAGATCTGCCTCTTTTTCCATGAGTTCTGGGCCTTCTGGCTGTATGCCCTCTTGTCCTGCAGCTCCTCCTGCTCCGACCTGCAGGTGCCCGGTGGACATGCCTGTCATTGGGTGCTCTGGAAAGTGACCATGCATGCCTGCCCAACCCTCCTCCTGAATACCTGGCCCAGCCCCACCCCGTCACCTATACATGCAGGTCTTCTTCAGGGAGCACCACCGGTTCAGCTCCTTGTCGTCAGCAGCAAGGATCTGCATGGAATGAGAGAGGGGTGCATGAGCCCCAGAGTGGGGGAGGGGAGGAGGGAGGTATGCTGCACTGACTCTTAGGCTTCAGTCACCTCATCACTCAAAGCAGGTAATGCTAGTACCACCTGGCAGGGACGTCATGACGGTGGGAGAGAAATGATTTCTGTGGAGGGCAATCTATGTTTTTTGTGGAAAACATCAGATGGGGAAACAAGCTCAGAAAAGGGTTCTGCCCCAAGTCACACAGCCAGGAAGTAGCTGATTACAGATTCCAGTTTGGGCCTGGGGCCCTGGAGCCCTCATCCATTCACCATGGTCCCAGCAGCCTCAGAGCAGATGTCTCTATGCCAGTCACCAGATTTGCTAATTATAGATGAGGCCCACATTCCCAACCTCCAGGCTCCTGCCTTCAGGCCTCAGTTTCCTCATTTATGAGGTGGACATCCCCTCAGAACCTACTGGAAAGGCGTCAATAAGACTGAGTGAATATAGGTAGTATAAGCTCAATAAACAGCTATTTTTACTGACCATGAATAATCAAGCACCCACAGCCATCACGGCTAAGGGACAAGTACTCTTCAAAGAGCCACACATTCGTTTCGTTTCAATTCCACAGTCATGAAGTGGGAGCAGTTAGGCCTGTTTTAATGGGGAAACTGAAGCACTAAGTCTAAAGTTACATGCCCAAGGTCTCACAGCTGATGAAAGGTTAAGCCAGGATTTGAACCCAGGCCATCTGGTTCCAGAGCCCAACTAGTCTTAGTGGCCACCCTGCTGCAGATATATACCATTTTCCCGAAAATAAGACCTAGCCAGAAAATAAGCCCTCGCATGATTTTAGGTGCCAAAATATGGCACCTTGGCATACTGAATATTTTAAGCTGAAGGAGTTTGTGGAAAAGACACCCTTCTCACTGAAACAGGTCACAAAGCCCTCGTGTGAGGGGTGCGTGCCCTCCATATCCTGGAGGAATCATGCTACGGCTTCTCCAGCTAAGTCTTAATTTTCAGGGAAACACGGTAGTAACAGAATTAAAGGCAGCTAACCCCTGAACATGGGATTGAACCATGTGAGTCCACTTATATGTGGATCTTTTTCAATAAATTCAGTAAATGTACATTTTCTTCCTTATTTTAACAGTTTCTTTTCTCTAGCTTTATTGTAAGAATATAACATATAACACATACATAAAATATGTGTTGATCAACTGTTTATGGTATCAATAGGGCTTCTGCTCAACAGTAGGTTATTAGTACAGTCAGCTTTCTGCATCTACAGAGGTTGAATCTGCAGATGCGAAACCCACAGATACTAAGAGCCAACTATAGTTGAGTTTTTGGAGAATCAAAAGTTATGCGTGGATTTTTAACTGCACAGGGGTCAGCACCCCTAACCCCCATGTTGTTCAAGGGTCAACTGTGAAATTTATAAGGGTCTGTCTGAAGCCCCCCATCGCACAGAAACCCTTTCATGGCCAGCCAAGTGGAGCGTTGGTTAAGAGCTGGCTTGGGACGCCAGCTCTGAGCAGCAGAGCCCCGGTTTGGATCCCACATGAGAGTCAGTGACACTGCACTCTACAGCTAAGATGGTGAACAACAGCTCAACCTGGAGCTGGGCTGCCGAGAGTCACCAGCAACGGCGTAGGCTGCAGCCCCTGGTGCAGTGGGCTGCCATAAGCTACCGTGTGTGGCCGGCAGCCAGCATGAGCGGCCGGCAGCCGGTGAGAGCTGCCAAGAGCTGCCGCGAGTGGCCGTCCAGAGGCCGGCAACGGATCTGCCTCACCCGGGAAGAGCACAATGGTAATACCAACATAGACCAGTGAAGCAATGTCCTCCACAACTAGACTGAAGAACAAAAGGACAGCAACTTGTCTGTTCCCCTCCCCCAATTCCCCAATGCTGTTCTCCTTCCCCAATTCCCCAATAAAAATCTTAAAAAAGAAACCCTTTCAGACAGGAAATATCATTAGTGCTGTCATTAGCACTATTATTTCTGTCATTTTCAAGATGAGGAACAGGTGTGTGGCAGTACCTGCTGGCTTGTGCTCCCTCTTACCTACTGGGTGTCCTGTAGTGTCCCGCGCCCACCAGGGGTCCTACCTCCTCAGTGCTGAGCCCGAAGTCACAGGGCATTACAGTGCGGTACTTGAAGCGACAGGGCAGGTCATCAACGATGTCCTCATAGTCTAGCTGGTAATACTCATCCAGGTACTCCTCGAATGTGTTGTTCTCTGCATGGGGAGAAATGGGCTGTTTGGGTGTGCCGGGCCCTGTGGAGCCCCTGCCGGCCCACCGCCTACCCACCGGGAGCCTCACCAGGGTTGAATACCGGCTTTTTCTGCCCCACAGCGGCAGCAAAAGGCGACTTGCGCTTCTTCTTGCCTATAGAGGGGGCCTCACGCTGTTTCTTCCGCGGCTGGCTGGGGTCATAGTCAGCATCCATCTGCCGGGGCATGCAGGTCAGGCCAGCCCTCGGGGCCCCTGAGACCCTCTAAGGCCCCCGCCATCCCCCCGCCCATGGCACCTACGTTGAAGTCTGGGTCCTCACAGTGCAGCTCCTCCTGGCTCCAATCTCCACCCTGCTCCAGCCCAGCCCATGCGTCCCAGTTCCAGTCATCTGGTTCCAGAGACAGACACGGAGGGGTGGGTTCAGGAGGGTCAGGGTGGGATCTCAGGCTTTAGGCCCAGCACTCCCACCCTAGCCCGGTGACCTCACCTTCAAGCCCTTCTTCTTCCTCAAATTGTGGCTTCTCATCCTCCATGGTGCCATAGTACTCGTCCCCAAAGCATTTCTGCAAGGCCGGGGACCAAGAGGGTAAAGCAGGGCACACTCCCCTCAGACAGCTTTACTCTGCTTCATACATGGCTCTGCAGCACCCTCTCAGGACCCAGCTCCTGATGTGGGCTTGACAGGGCCAGTCAGGGGACGCCTCTAAGACCCTACCTCTTCCTGCATGTCCCCATCACTACTAAGAACCCTGAAGGTTGTAACCATACAGTTAAGCGCCTGCCACTAGTCTGGGGGCTCTGAGAAGGCAGGGACTGCTATGATGCCTGGTGCTTGGCATACAGTAGGTGATCAATGAATGTTAGCCTGGTTCTTGCCACTCGATGAGCTCCAAGAGGGCTGACACTGTATTGGGCCCTTACTAGAACCCCAATACCCAGTCGGGGTCTAGCAAGGGCAGATACTGCTAACCAAGTCACTTATTGAGCACCTACTATATGCCCAATGCTGGCTGCATCTCATTGCATGTGTATAAGCACACCAACAGAGCAACTACCTCTATTCTATTGAGAAACTAAAGCTCAGAACTGAGAAGCTTCTAGAAAGTGAAGACTAAACTCTGATTACATAGCACCCCCACACATACTCCAGTTTTCACCTGGCCCACTGATACATCCTCAGTCCCCTTCCCTGACCTCCCAGGCATGGTCAGGGGCCTCTTTGGGGTTCCTGCAGTCCCACTGCTTCCCACACACAGCCTTTATCTCATCATCTGTTTCTATGGCCTGATGCTATATTCCCACAAAAACAACAAAAAACATTAACAGCGTAATGAGTGAGTTTACAAGAAATATAGTGACCCATTGTTCCTTGAGCACTTACCAACTAAACTTTTATGTATATTCCTTTCTAGCTATCCTTACAATAGTTCTGAGATAGATGCTATGGTTAGACCACTTTACAGACAAAGGCTCAGAGGTCCAATCACTTTTCTGAGACCACACCGCCAGGAAACGGCCAGCACTCATTCCAGAGCCACGCTCCTGAGCACTGAGCTGCACGGCACGGCCAGGGTGTAGGGGCCACACCTGCATAAGTTGGTCGTGCTGGGTAGGGTCGAAGTCATCCTCGAGGTCCCGCTCCTCAAAGCCCAGCGTCTTGTTGCCCGTAACCTGCCGCAGCTTCTCCAGCTTGGCCAGAATTTCCTTCCTCTTCAGGTTCTTCAGCTGCTTGAGCTCCTCCTGCTTTTTTGCTTTCTCCTGTGGGTGGCAGGCCCAAGGGATGGGGAGAGGGAGGTTATCGGCTCTCTCCGCAGACTAGGGGGCCCACCTGAACCCACCTCCCCCACACTCACCTTCCTCTTTCGCTCCCGAGTCTCCTCCCTCCTTTCCTTCCTGCGCTCATCCTTACGGCGCACAGAGGACGTGATGCTCCGAGGGTAGGTCTTGACCTGTGGGCAACAGATTCTGAGATCCCTCGGCCTGGGCCCCAAAACCACTCCTCCCAAACCCTAGCCCTGGCCACCCACCAAGGCCGAGTCCGGCTCCTCAAAGCGGAAGTTGTATTTGTGCTCGAAGTCCTCCTGCTTCTTCAGAAACAGCTCTCCCTCATCTGAGGAGTCGTCCACGGCCAGCTGGACTGGGGGACCTGGGACCCTAAGAGATGAAATGAGATGGGGCTGGGGTCAGCCGAGCTCCTGTGTACCAGCTGTATTAACTCGTTTAATCCTCTCAAGAACTCTAAAGTACAGTGCCACCATTAGCCCCATTGTACAGATGGGGAAATGGAGGCACAGAAGTCTAACAGCAGGGTCAGGATTTGAACTAGTGACACCTGGCTCCAAGAGCCCACACTCTGCGGCTCTCCTTCACAGATGACTATCTCTGCTACCATCTGTGTGAAAAAAGTAAACAGCTGGTACCCTCTGCTTTCTGGCCTGCATTGGCTCCAGGCCCCTGGGGGGAACATGGCTACTCACCCTTCCTCCTCCTCCTCCTCCTCTTCCTCCTCATCTCCCTCCTCCTCGTAGCGTTTGTTGAGGATATAATCCCGTAGGAACTGCTCCCCTTCATCCAGTTCTGGGTTATTCCAATATTCCTTGAGATGAGTCTGGAAGTGAAGGGGTGACAGGATCCACGTTATCGACTTGGAGGCAGGGAAGGAAGACAGACATGGACACCAAGTGAATTCAAGTGACAAACTTCACAGCCAGCCTGTGAAGTAGCTGGGAGGCAGTATCCCTATTTCATAGATGTAGAAACTGAGGCCCAGAGACAGGCACACCTTATCTTCAGAGTATGTGCTCTTGGCTACCCCTTCAAGGGTTGGTTTCTGGAAAAAGGTTGGATGGAGGCGAGAAAGGCAGTATAGTCCTTCAGCAACTATACGTGGAAACTCACCAGCTCTCTCAGGGTCTCAAGGTTCTGAATCTCCTTCTGCCCCTTCAACCATTCGACATAGTCAGCATCCTCCTGGGCCTGGGAGAAGGCCAGTGCTCAGGGTCTGCAGGAGGCCCAGTACCTGCTCCCTGCCACAAGCCCAGGTCTAGCAGAGCCCCAGCACCCACCTTCTCCTCCTTGGTTTTAGCACGTTTCTGCAGCAACCCGGAGCCACCTTCCCCGGCGCTGTTCTCATCCTCACTGTCCTCCATGAATGCCCGGAAGCTGCCCGTGCAAGAGAACAAGCCTCAGGATAGGCAGGCTGACCCCTGCCCACTGCCCCAAGATTAACCCCATTTACTAAGCCCTGAGCTCTCCTTGACAAGCTCAGAGTAGTACTGAGACACAGAGAGCCTTATCAACCCCATTTAACAGATCAGGAAACTGAGGCATAGAGAGAACAAGTAGCATGCCCAAGGACACACAGCCATTAAGTAACAGACAGAGCAGGATTTGAACACAGGCCTATCCAACCCCAGAAGGTCAACTCCTACCCATTTGGCCACTCGCCACCCAGCTCACCTTTCCTTGAGCTGTTGCTGTTCTTCCATGTAACTTTTCGAGGAGATCTGCTGCGGAGAGTGTGCTGTGAGCCTCAGGCCCAGCCTCGGGCCCCTTAGCCCACTCCCAGCCTCCACCCCACCCACCTCAAGTCTCTGATTGGAGGTCTCCCCATCTGAATTCTCTTCGTCGACATATTTGCTGTGCAAGTAAGGGTGGGGCTTCAAAACAGACTCCCCACAGCCTGTCTGTCCCAGTGGGGTGAGGGATGGTTATGAGCAGCAGGTCGGGGAACCAGTGGGATACAGGCATTCATCAAGGAGCCTGCTCTCTGGGTTTCTCTCAATTCTGGTGAGTAACTGGCTTCTTCCCACCCCTGCCCCTAAGACCCCCATGAGTCTGCCTGCTTTGGGAAGGTGGGATGGGGGTGGTATGTGTCAGGCTTTCTCCTCACCCTTCTTTCTCCAAGATAACCCTCCTCTCATAGTCTTTCAGGTACATGGGCCGCACCTTCTTTTGCTTCTCAGCAGCCGGCTCTCCCTCGCTCTCTGAGGACGTTGCTGTGGGGCCACCAGGAGACACCTGCCATCACCCACAACCTACGACCCCCTTCATTCCCAGGTAGAGAATCCTACTGGGCTGGGCCAGGTCAGATGGAGGCTTCAAATCCTCAAGCCACCAGTTCCCAGCTGTACAAGAGGTATCACACTAGCTACCACCTGGCAGTTAAGTACCTGGCAGTGATCATTCAGTGAGTAACTCATGCTCTGAACGGTACCAAGCACATGGTCATTATTAACATCAACAGGTAATAATCTAAGACACTCTGCGAAGCACTTTTGACATAAAATGATTCATTAACTTGTCACAACAAATGATAAGGCAATGAGGACCCTGGGCCTTGGGGAGGAGCAGCCTCAGACCTGTTCTCTGGTAGAAGGTGGCATCTTTCTGATAAATGCGGGGGTCCTTTTTCTTCAACAAGGAGAGAGTCCTGTAAAAGTCACGCTCCTGTTGGGGGTCAAATTCCTAGGGCAGAAAAAGGATTGGGGACAGACTTCAGTAAGCAACGCGGGCAGGTGGGCTGAGAGGGTATTGGAATTAGGGTGGTGGGAGGAGCACACATTAGGAGGAAGGGGGATGCTGCTTGGGAAAAGCAGGTGCGGGTGAAACTGGATGAAGGGAGCACAGCCCACACATAAGTACAGCATAAGAGACAGGGGAAGGTAGTAGGGCAAAGGGAGGGTACTTCCTGGGGACAAAGAGTTGACATGGGGAAGGTGGGCAGAGACAAGCACATAGTGAACAACTGGAGGGGCTTGGCTGCACAGTAAGGTAGGAAGATACAGTTAATGTGGGGAGCAGCTGAGTGCCCCATGTGGCAGCGATGTACCACTTCCGGGACAGAGTAGGACATAGAAGTGGTTAGATTCTTGGAAGAGTAAATGGGGGACAAAGGGGCTGCACAAAATACATCAGGATTGGCAGATGGATCCCTGGCGGGGGAAGGGGATGAGGGGGATTTGGAAAACCCCTGGGGACGGGGAGAGCACTGTCTGTCCCTTGTGGGATTGGGGGCGGGAGTTGGACGCTCCGGTAGGGAACGATGGAGTTGGGGGTTAACCGTCCCCAGTCGTAGGGGTCGGGATGCGGTGGGGGGCATGAATGCCTCCCGCACGTCCGGGACCGGGATGAGGAAGCTCACAACGCGCTCGTCGCTGGAGTCTGACTCGGAGCTGGAGTCGTCGCCACTGTCTCGGTCCCGGTAGCGATCTTTCACTGCAGGGCACAGATGGGAGCCCCCCCACCCACCAGATCAGCCTGGGGAGACCAGATCAACACCCACTTCCCGACGACCCTGCAGCGCCGGCGCTATGCGCGCACGCGCCATGCACTCACACCGCTGCAGCTCCTCGCGTTCCCGGTAGCGGCCGTACCGCTCAGCGAACGCTGCGTTCACCCGTAAGGGTGACGACCCGCGCGACTTCAGCATGGCTGCTCTGCGGCCCACTGCGCATGCGTACCGCGAGCACCGCCCGCACAAGGAGGCAGGGCTGCTCTAGGTCCCGACCAACGCGAGCTTTAAAGAGGGCGGAGACTCGCGAGCGGCGCCTAACCCCACCCAGGCTTTTCCGGGATCCCTTACGCCCCTTGGCCGCAGTCCCCGCCCATGGATTACGCCTCTGCGGGGAAGGTTGCTGCCACCGCCCACCCCACCCAACCCCCGGGGCTCCGGCACCCAGCTGACATCTGGGGGCCCTTTCTCCACTCGCGGTTTCCTGCCTCCCTTCCGTTCCGACAGCGCAAACCGCTGCCCCACCTAGCTCACTCCCCCGTGGCGCCCTGAGAATTACCACTCTCTCCCCTTTCCCGAAGCATCCACGATCCGCGACCCCAGTGCCCACCCCCCCATCCCCCCACGAACATCCTGGACGTGCGACTCTCCATCGCAGATTCAAAAAAATCAGAAGGCCCAAGCGCTGTGATCATGCACAAGTCTTAATTTAATGGGTAAAAGCATTAAATTATCACACACAACTTTTTTCCATAAAGCTTAATAAATAGAATCTTTTCTTAACATTGTACAAGAGACTGGAAAACAAGTTTCCAACAAAATATGAACTCATACTACCCTTTTATTCATTTGGAACTCCCCCCCTCCCCCCATGCTTGAAAGCAGTGTGTACACTTGAGGTCTCTCTCTGGGTACACAGCCAAAGTCACCAGGTTCCAGGAGCCCTGGAAGCGATGACCTCACTCCGGGGCTGAAGCTTTAAATGTTCTGCCCTTGGGACTCATCTGCAGCCCCAGCAGTATGGGACTTGAAGGAAACTGAACCGTTTAGGTGGCTGTTGCCTGCAGGAGCCCTTCTTTGCCCAACACACCAAAAGGGGTGACAAAAACAAATGAGAAATGCCCCCCATAGACACCCTCCCCCCAAATCAACACCAACAAGCCACAAACTGGTGCCCCTCCACCTTTGGCAGTGGGCAGGAGGAGTGAGAAGAGAAAGTGTTTCTTTCCTCCTTTTCTGACATAGAACCCAGCTGGGTCCTGTTGCTGGAGTGGGTGGCCCCAGGTCACAGCGGTGCCACCGTGTGTCCCTGCAGTATGCCCATGAGATCCTGAGCCCCTCTTCTCCGTGCCAGCTCAAGGGGTGTGAGCCCTCTTGCATCCCTATGATGGAGATCAGACTCAGCAGCTAGGAAACTGACCACAGCTCTGTGGCCCTCTAGCACCGCCAGATGGATGGGGAGTGCCCCAGTGTCATCAGGTGCGTTGATATCAGCGCCATGCTCTACCAAAACCTTCAGGGTGTCTAGGAATCCAGTGCGGGCTGCATCATGGGCTGGAGTGGTACCGGAGGCGTCCTGGACATTCGGGCTGGCACCTTGCTTCAGGAGCTCCAGGGCAATGGTGGGGCTACCAAACATCATGACCTGTGCAAGGGCAGGATGTAGGGGGTCCTCAAGGGAGGGTTCCAGGAGAAGGGGCCACTGGAGAGAGGGGTCATTCAGAAATAGGGACCAGCAGAAAAGAGGTCCTCTGAAGAGTGAGGAAAGCCCAGGAAACACAAGCCCTTCAGGACACCTGTTTGAGACCCCAGAAATAGGGACCCCCAAGAAACTGGTCACTCCCCTAAAGATAAGACACCCCCTAGGGAATAGCCCCTATGGGAACTTTCAAGGAATCTTAGACCCTCCCCCAAGGAACCAGATAAGGGAAATTACCAGGAAATATAAACACCCCTCCAGGAAATTGGCTTCATAGAATGAGAACTGTTTCCCCAAAGAATTTGACAGCCCCATCAAGGGAAAGAAGATGCCCAGGGAATCTGAGGCCCCTTCTCAAAGGAATAGTCCCTCACATATAATCAGAATGCACCCCAGAGCACCTGACCCCGCAAGAAATGGGGTTCCCCTGTAAAGTCACTCCCAGGGAATAGGGACTACCATGCAATCTGTAACTGTCCCTTCACTGGAACCTCACATAATATACCAGAAATCTTAAAAAAAACAGGAATGGAGATTTACACACACACACACACACACACACACACACACACACACACACACAGACACACACACAAAGAAACTGGGTAACTCTCAGAGAATCCCTTCTTCCATCGATGGGATTCCCCCCATAGAAGCCCAAAGAAACCAGAGCTGTCCCATGAAACCGGGATCCAAAGAAGCTGAACCCTCACTCAAGGAATAAGAACCTCCCCAGGGAAACTGAATCCCCCGCGCCCAGAGAACAAGGAATACTCCAGAGATGGAAAGACTTCCCCTCCCCCATTGTAACACCATCCACCACCCACCTACGAAAGGGGACATCAGGGAGCAACGTCAACCCAGAGATGGAAGACCGGATCCCAGTTGGCCACCACTGGGGCCAGGAGATGAGGGGGAAAGAGTCTGGGATTCCAGTCCTCGCTGCCGGCCGGTCCGGCCTCACCTGTAGTGCAGTCTTGCCGAAGCGGTTCAGGACGTCGGGGTGCACCAGCTCGCGGTGCAGAAGGCGGCGCACCTCCTGCACGTCGCCCCGGGCCGCGGCCCCGCTCAGCAGGTCGCCGGCGCGGACCTCCTCCAGCAGCATGTCGACACTGGCGGCCTGCGAAGCCCCCCACCCCACCCCGACGCGGTCAGTACCGGGGAGACCACGAATGCTGGCCAGAACAACCCTCCCGAGGCGTGCCCGGCCTGAGCCAGGCTCCCGGCCTGGCTTGCCAGTCCGAAGCACCGGTGCGACCCCTGCCCTCCCGGCGGGTTCCTCCCCTCTGTCAGCCGGCGGGTCGTGAGCGGCTGGGAGCCGGGCCCAACCCTCCACGGCTCGCAGTGCCCAACCCGGCGCCCGCCCCTTGGGGGCTGGGTCTCCCCCCAACTCACCCTCCCTCCTCCTCGACGGGCGGGGTCTCTTCTGAGCCAGTGCGTCGAATGCAGCCGCCTAGCCGACCGCCAGGGGGCGGAGCCAGCGCACTCGAGGCCCCACCCCCTAACGCCAAAGATTTGTTTTCTTATGAACTCGCTACGTTGTAGCCCAGTCGCGTTGCCCGGCGCGCGACCTTGCGCCTCCCGCCCACACATCCAGTGTAGCCAATGGCTACACGTCGCTGAGCAAGTTTTGCGCTCCGGCGTAGGCGGTGCCGCTCCTGATTGGCCGAGCCCCGACGAGCGGTGGCCCGCCGGCAACGGCGGGGTTTTCAGTTTTTCAAACGCGCCTGGCGGGCGGGAAAGAGCACCGGTTTAACTGACCCATGGGAAAAAAGGTCAGGGGTATGGTAGCGCAGGATGCTCCAGGGCCTCGGCACCTCCGAGGGAAAGGTAGGCAGGGCTGGGACCGCCCAGTACAAGGTTCCACCATTCACTCGGCGATTAACATTTATTCACCCGTATGAGGCGCGGAACGTTTTTTCATTCATTCACCCACCGTGTGCAGGAACCGTTCCCGGCCCTGGGAGCGCACATTCAAGCACCTAAATAATTTAAGATACCGTTAAACACCGTAAAGAAAATAAAACGGGGAAATGAGGGTGAGTGAAGGAAGGAGTCATGTTCTGGCTCAGACTAAGCCAGCCCTGGCACAGCAAGTGTAAGGGCGAGGAGCAAGGTTCATGCTGCAGCTGCCACGTGGCTGAGCCTGGGAGGTGGCTCTTACAGAGGTCTTCATTCAAACATTTACTGAGCACCTACTGTGTACTAGGAGCCCAACTGGAAAGCGAGCTGGGCGGCACGTGCTGCTGGGCGTCTACCGTTTAGGGCGGGAGAAGACAATAATTAAATCTTTTCAGAGTGGTAAACACTAAGGAACTGATAAAACGGGGTAAGTGACAGTCTCTTGGGAAAGGAAAGCCATTGATGTAGAGAGGTTAGGGAGGGCCACCTTGAGTTGGTGACATTGATTTGAGACCTGAAGTTATGGAAAGGAGCCATGTGGCTATCTAAGGAAAAGCATGTCAGGTGGAGGGCACTACAGATGCAAAGGCCCTGAGGTGACAGCGTGCCTGGTGTGTCCCGGAAGAGCGAGGTGTAGAGGAGGAGGCGGTGAGGGCAGGTAGGTGGCGGGAGGGGTACTGCAGATCAGGCTTGTGGGCTGCAGTAAGGACTTCTTTTAACAAGATGGGAACTGTGGAAGGATTGTGAGCAGAGGAGCCAGGATCTGAGTTAGAAGTTAACCGGTGCCCTCTGGCGGCTATGAGGGGAACTGACTGTTGTGGGGGAGGGAAGTCCGCAGCCAGGGGACGTAGGTGAAGGCAGCTGGGTTAGCCCAGATGAGCTATGACCAGGGCTGAGGAATGGATTTGTTGCCCACTCCCATCCCAGCAATTCAGGGACGTCCCTAGCATCCCCAGTCCCCAGCCAAAAAGCATATACACAGCTGCTAAATTCATCTTTTTAATGCCATCCTAAAACATAGAGGATTAGGCCAGGGGGGCCTCTGGGCTCAGCAGCTGTGAAGGAAAAGGGGCTCTGATACCCGCTAAGGCAAGTCACTGCAAGAAGGCACTCATGAGGGGGCTTTCAAGTCCCTCCTCTCTTTCTTCATATAAAAGTGGAAGTGGGGAGTCAGGAGGCAGAGGGAAGCAGGGAGACCATCCCTCCCAGCCTATGGGTAGAGGACAAGGCAGGGAGGGGGCCAGGTGCTGGGAGCCACAAGTAAAAAACTGCTAAGCCAACAGGGCCTGCTCACACAACACACTCCCCACATTCCCTCCCTCTCTCTAAAGTCTGCAGCCAAGGACCTAAGGGAGGGAGGCCCATGTTCAAACCCCCACCTCTTCTCCCTTCTAGCTGGTACGAAGTTGATAATCTGCAAGGAAACAATGGGAAGGGACTGATTCAGAACCGGAGAAAGGGAACAGAGGGACAGTACCCCCCATCCCCAGTCCCAGTGCCCATGATCAACCAACCTTGTGAGCATGTAACAAAGTTAAGGATGGGATCAAATATAAGGACTGTAACCATAGCAACAAGCTTATTTCTAGGCAGCAAATGGGGGTATGTGTTCAGTCCCTTATCCAAAACCGGGAACTGGCAACTGTCCCCGTTTTGAAAATAGGCAAACTGAGGCCCGGGGTGGTATAGTGACAAAGATGGGGTAGGCCTGCGGCCAGGCCTATAGAGTTTTGGAGCCCTCTGAGTGACAATATATGAAAGCCCCAAGGCCATCCCCTTCTTCTTCTTGCCCCTATCGTCCCAGGGAGCTGGGCTGTCTTACCACCACTCTGGGTGATGTAGCGGACCCAGGGCAGGGCCTGGTAACCACTTTTCTCGATGATTTTCATATATCGGACCTGGAAGGGAAGGAAAGGTGTCCAAGGCTTGGGGGAAACGGCTGGCTGGGGCCAGCAGAATATATGTGACACAACTTGGGAGAATAAGATGGCACAGGCTGGGAGTAATGATGTGACATGGCTTGGGGCAAAGATGTGGCATGGGCAGTGGGAGTGGGGGCAAGGAAAGTGGTCCAGGACAGTGGGAAAGAGATGGCATAGTGTAAGGAAATAGACACAGCACAGTTTTGGGGGGACAAGGTGGCACAGGCCAAGGGAATGGTAAACAGCTTGAGGGTGGGAGAGGGACTGAAGTGAACGAGCTAGTGGGGAACAAGTGGCACACAGTGATAAGTGGAAAAAGAGGATACCCAGGCCAGGAAACAGTGGAGACCTGAGAAACAAGAGACAGAGAGAGGGGAACACACAGAGGTCAAGAAGAGCGGGCCTGCCTGCTTCCCTCACCTGAATCCCAGAGACGGTGAAATAGGGGATCTCAAACTTGACCCCAATGGGTGGCCGGCCTTCCTCCTCCTCCTTCTCCACGCTGGGGAGGCCAAAGTGGGCGCGCATCAGGTACTCCTTGCCCCCCTGAAGGCACATGGGGGCATCAAACACACTGAGGGGCCCCTATACACCCCAGACCATCCTCACAGCAGCCCCTGGAGCACACTCAGTCTCAACCCATTTAACAGACAAGAAAATAAAGACTCACAGTCAAAGCTTGTGACTATAAAGCCTGGCTGGGGGGGATTGGTGGGAAGCTTCTAAGGACCATCTCCCATTTTTCAGGCCCTGATGAACCCTGGAGGGAAGGCCAAATACTCCAGGTACCCAAGGACATGGGTAACATGATAGTGCCTATTTCACAGAGGGGCAAACTGAGGCTCTATGAGGGAAAGAGTGATTTCCAAGGCCATCGAGCTCAGAGAGGCAAGAGTAGGAGTCTGAACCCAGGGCTGGTTTCCTCCAGAGCTCAAGAGAGGGAGCTGCACCACCATACTGGCCTGGTGTCCAGCTTTAATACCCCCCAAGGACAACTATGTGCATGCAGACGTGGCTTTCCGACTGGTTCTCTACCTGGCCCTCAAGTTGGAGTGGGTACCCCCAGATCCCCGCCCTTCCCCAGTGCTCACCGGGAAAGACTTTATACTCCAAATCACAATGTTCTTCTCAGGCACATACTTGGCACTGCCCACACTGGTCTTGAAGCGTGGGGAGTCAGCATCACTGGGTACCGGCACAGATATCTCCACGCCGTTGGCCACCGACTGCTTCTTAAACTGCCCCTTGGCCTGTTGTGGCAGAGAGATCAGGCGGCAAGAAGAATGCTCATGAATTCCTCAACTATTCACCAAGCCCTTTCCATGCATGGTCTTAACAAGAGCCTCTACAATACTGAAGTGGGGACCACTGTCCTGCCCACTTTATAGATGAGGAAAACAGAGGCACAGAGAAGTTAAGGCAGTTGCCTGGAGACACACAGCCAACAAGTGGCAAAGCCAGGGGCCACACCCACAAAAGACTCCAGAGACGCTGCCCTTGGTGCCTTCCATTTCACAAAAGTGTATATACCTTTGCCTGGTTCAAAATGATACCTCTCAGCCCAACACAGAAGAGTTTTCATTTAAGAGCTGGCATTTACAGAGCCCCTGCCATGTGCCAACCACTTAGCCCTCTCATTGATTCTTTAAAGTAGGATCCATTCCTAAGGTCCATTTTCAAGATGAGGAGACTGAGGCACAGAGAGAAAGAGCAATTTACCCAAATCACATAGCTAGTAACTAGTACAGTAGGGATTCAAATTAAGCCTGCCTTCATCCTCAGCCATCACATGCCCTCCTTACAAAAAAATGAAGTTGCACTATATATCTAGGGCTGTGTGACATAGTACATATACTGGGGGTGCCAAAAATATGTATACAGGTGGACACTTTGGTCAACGTGGCTCAAGCAGTAGTTCACCATAATCAGAAGTATCTGGATGCTGATGGTAACCACTGTGAGCACCTCTTGTAATTGCAGAAGTCAAATGTGACTTGTATTCATCTTTTGTTATCGGTATATATTGAGTATTACAATTTTAATAGTTTTTTCCTTAAAATGCATATACATGTTTTGGCACCCTCTGTATATTTAGAGCTGTGTGACACAGGACAAGCTTTTAATACAAGAATTCTAAGTGTTCCATGGGTGGTAGCTGGGATTATTATTACTATTATTATTTATTCATTTGAGGAGGGATATTTGAGAAGTGGGATCAGGGGCAGAGGACATGGAAATAAATAGGGGGGAATCCTTCCTGGAAGGCACTAGCTTTAATAGCCCCTTCCTCTTTCCTGCATGTAGAGATGGAAAGCATTAAGACCCTCCCTGGTGACCATCCGCTCTGCAACCCAGCTCCCCCAAGACCGCAAGATCAGGGAATAAAGTCAAATCTAACAACACAGACTCTTGAGCCAGGCAGACCCAAGTTCTTAGATGAGTGCAGCTTAATGCCCTGGACCTCAGTTTCCACATTGGTAAAAGAGGGCTAAACTATAAGCTCTGGAGGAGCCCTTGCTTGGGGCACCAGGAGACATGCACAGAGCTGTTGACGGCAATGCAGACTGGAATAGCCAAGAGCTAAAAACAACCAATGCAAGAGAATGGAGATAGAAAAGTCCTGTAGTAGAATATTCTACAGCTATAGAAGTGGATGCACTAAGCTATGGCTCCCGGAATTCATCTTAAAATCAACGTTACATGAACAAAGCAAGTTATATATAAAACATACAGCCTGAATCCCCAGATATGAGGATCAGAAACCGGCAAAACAAAATATTTGTGGTTACACATGTGGGTGGCAAAATTATAAAGAAAAGCAAATAACTTACATAAAATTCAAGATCGTCACTACCTCTGGGCAAGAGGGGAGAAGGGATTGGGAAAGGGACATGGGGTTCAGAGGCTTTGGTCAAGTACATTCGAATAAGCTGGGTGGTTCATTGTTATTTTTAAATCATATAAATACACTATGTTTTTAAGAAAAAATATGTAAGTAAAACATATCAGACAGTGATAAGTAATAGAAGAAATAAAAAAGCAAAGAAGGGAGATGGACATGCAAGGGGGATACAATTCTAAACAGGGAAATCAGGGAAAGCCTCTGAGAAAAGGAGTCATGTGGATACTTGAGTGGGTAGGGGACGAAGTGATCCAGGGATAGGGAATAGCCAGTGCAAAGGCCCTGGGGTGGGATAGGAGGAATGGTGCCTGGCATGTTTGAGAACCAGCCAGGAGACCAGTGTGGCTGGAGAGAAATGAGCCAGGAAGGAAGTGGGAGATGAAGTTAGATCAGTGAGGGGGTGGGAGGGGCAGGTAAAGCACTGTGAGTAACTGTTCCCCCAGCCCACCTTGACCATGATCTCCACACGGCTGTGGGAGAACTTCTCAATGACAGACTCAATCCAGATCAGCGGCTTGACCTGCAGACAGAGGAAGCGGGGATTCTGGGAGGCTCTGGGGTAAACTCTCCCTCCCTGCCCTGGGACTTGACCCTGCCTCACCTGGGTGCTGAGGCGGTAGGACATAAGCTCAAAGTCGCCATCAGGTGGGATGAAGGAAATGGTGCGATCATTGTCGAAACGAGAGAGCCGCACACACTGGTGAAATTTCACATCCTCCAGTTCCACAGACTTGTTCTTGCTCCCTGAAACTCAGAGACAAGCATGCAGGGTGACCCTGGGGGCCAGGGAAGGGTCCCTACCCCTACCTTCATCGTGCACTGCTACAATCACCCCCATTTTACAGATGAGGAAACTGAGGCCCAGAGTAGATGAGTAACTTGCCCAGTCACCCAGCTGGCCAGGGGCAGAGCTAGGATCTGAACCCAGGGAATATTTTAAATACGGTGCTATTCTGTCTCCTAGGATAATCTACAATGTCAGCTCCAAGAGGGCCAGGATTTGTCTTTTTCTTCACTGCCCTCTGTTCTTGCGCCTGGCGCTCAATAATGAAGCAGCATTTGCTCAATGAACCAGCAGCTGCACTGCTGGCCATGAGCAGCAGAGGGCACATGAAAGCTTATTTCAGAGCGGGCTGCAATTCTCTGCGTCCCCAGATGCAGAGGGGTCTGTGGCTCCTCCATGAGCCCCTCTCCAGACACTTACGGCCAGTGAGCTCGAAGAGCACACGGTCATTGAGGCCAAGCCGCAGCTCCGGCATTCCGGACAGAAACACCTTGAGCTTGATGGTGCCCACAATCTCGCTCAGCAGGACGCTGCCATTGGCATTGACCTGAGGATGCAAACATGGGGGGTCAACTGGCAGAGGATCCCCTATCCTGCCCCTAGGCCGTGGTAGGGGTGGGGTGGAAATTTTGGGGCTCACCAGTAGGTTGACAGACTCTATGACATCAATGAAGACCTCATTCTTCTTATACTTGATGCCCTCAGAGCGCCAGGACACAGCATTGGTGACAGTGGGCGGCACCCGCGACTTACCTGTCTCCAGCTTGTTGCCCTGCTGCGTGATGTACCTAGCAGGACGGCAGGGGGCATGAACAGGTGGACCCAGGGACACCTCCAACAGTGGCCCACCTTGTGGCTGCCTCTATGGCCTACTCACTCCTGCAGAATCTTGCTGTCGGTGGTCTGGGGGAAGCCGAAGTCCATGAGCTCGTCTAGCAGCTCATAGACAATGACAAAGTTGTCCCGGATGCTCTCCTCCTCCAGCTCCTTGAAGTATTCGGAGAATACCTGGGGATGCGGGGAGCAGACACCCACAGAGGTGTAGCTGATGTAGCCATGAGCTGGGTCCCATAAATCCAGCCATCCATCCAACAAGCAATTATTGAGTGCCTACTGTATACCAATGCCGGATATTAATGGTGAAGAAAGCCCACAGCATCCCTGCCCTCATGCTAAAGTCTAGTGGGAGAAATGGACTGGTAACAGGACCAATATAATCTAACATGTTGGGTACAGTAATGAGGAAAACACAAGGAAAGTAGGAGCCCAGAGGTGGGGAGGTCCAGGAAAACTTCCTGGAGAAGGAATTGGAAGGGCTCAGAACTGTTGTTGTTGTTCTTGTGGGCCATAGATCCCTGCATATCTGATATCTGGTGATGTTCACGGACCCACATGAGAATAAAGTTTGTAAATGCGTAAAACAAAATAGAATAGCAAAGGAAACCTGTTATACAGAAATATGACAAAGTTCATGAACTACAGGCCCTGTGAGGTTTGAGGACCCCAAGATAAGCACCCCTAGGAATTAGTAGGCATAACCACAGCACAAACCTGTCAGTCATCAACATTTGAACCACCCTCATCCCTCATTCTGCTCCAATCTCACTGACCTTTCTATTTCTACCCCAGGGCCTTTGCATAAGTCATCCCCTCTGCCTGGGACACTCTTCCCCCAGCTTGTCATCCAGAGGGCTGCTTGTCATCCAGGACTCAGCTCAAATGTCACCTTCTCAATGAGGCCCCCTCCCATGACTATCAGGCTATGGTGAGACTAACATTCCAGTTACTGATTTAATATTCTCCTGTTTAATCTCCTTCATGTCTCCTCAGGACAGACAGAGAAATGTCTAATGCATAGCTTTGTCTTCTCTTTGTCTGACAGAGAAAAGACAAACCAATAAATATTTCTTGTTTGTTGAAAAGTATTGACTAAGCACTTTCTCAGTCATTGAGAATGGCATATAATAAGCGCTCAATAAATCATTATGTGATTTTATAACAGTGATAAAGCTAACAATACCAAACCTTTATTGAACACTTACTGTATACTGAGCACTGTTTTAGGCACTTTAGAGGTATGAATTTGATTAACTTGTACAACCCTGAGGCAGGATTTGTTGTAACTCCCAGTGTAGAGGCATAGAGAGAAGTGACTTGCTCAAGGTCACACTGCCAGGAAGTGGAGGGAGCTGGGATTGGAACTCAGTTCCCTCTGGCTCAGATTTGAGCACTGACACCCTCTCAGAGACCCCCTTGATCCCTGCCCGATAGAGGGAGATGATCCCATAGCAGCCAGTGAGAACACAGAGTGATGGGGCTTTGATTCCGGCACCCCCAAGGAGGTCAGGCAAAGCTTCCTAGGAGAGATGGATCCTGAAAGAGGCAGGCAAAACAGGTGAACAGACAGACCAGCAGGCCAATGGGAGGCCAGGACCTACCTCCACTGTCTTGTAGAGGAAGGAGTACACGAGTGAGGCATTGGCATTCTTCAACGTGGTGGCCACCACTGTGGGCAGCGAGGTTAAGGAAAAGGTGCCATTTCGGAAGGGATCAAATGGAGCACAGACCCTGAAGCCCCATACCCTATCCCCCGCCACCTCCCCCATCTTGCCCACCTCTACCCCACCCCAGCCTGAGCCCCCACCGATGTGCAATGCAACTGCTGTCCTCAGCCTACCCTCTGGGCCTAAGCTGCCACCACTCCAGACCCCCATGGATACAGGCCCCCACCTGTAGCTGGATACAGTAGAGATTGCTGTGTTTGATCCACAGGAAGTGGACCCGACCGTGGCTCAGCAGCGGCGCCAGGGCGCCCTCTTCCTCCCGCTGCATGAGCAGAGGCATGAAGTGCTCTATCTCACTCATAGCCACATCGCCCTTGTAGTTGCGGCTGATCAGGGGCTAAGGGTGGGCAAAGAAGATCCAGTCACCACTGGGATCCTGAGACCCTCCACCCAGAGGCATCAGAGTGCCTGGTTCTGACCTTACTTCCTGGCCGAGGGGCCTGAGCAAGGCTCTGCCTCTCTACACCTCAGTTTCCTTCGCTGTGAAATGGGCACATGATAACAACAGCTAATGAGTCTAGAGCCCTCACTGAGGTCCAGGTCCTATTCTACTAAAGACTGGATGTTTGCTTGCTGTTTAAGCTCTCACCACAACCCTGTGAGGTAGATGTCATCATCATCTCCATTGTAAACATGGGGAAACTGAGGTAGGAACCATGTCCATAGTAACTGAGAAACCGGGAATTGGACCAAGGTGCCCTGGCTCCGGAATTCCTGCTCTTGCCTAGGACTTCATATGCACCAAACTGGTGAGGTTGGGATAAAAAAAAGAAAGACAGGAGGAAAGGAAGGACGGAAGGAAGGAGAGAGTATAGAAAGAAAAAGAAAGACTATAGAAAGAAAGGAAAAGAAACAGAAACATGCCAAAAAGGAAGAAAAGAAAAAAGATACGCCCATATTATCTCTTTCAGCTCATATATAGATCTGCCTGGAAGGCAATAAGGAGTCAGTAATAATAGTATCTACTTGGTAAGGTTGTTTAGTCTGGTGTTGAGAACCCGGAGAGCACACAGCAGGTCCTCAAATACCTTAGCTCTTACTATTATTATTATCAGGAATATCATTTTCACCACTATTATTATTGCTATTGAGTGACAAGATGAATGAGAGGGTGCTCAGAAAGGGACAAGGCAGCCCCAAAAGGGAATTATGGGCCCCTTGCCCCTGTTGTCTTCCCCAAATATTAATACTGTGGATGATGATGGTGATAGAAATAACAATTTCAATTAATTGACCGCCTAATATTTGCAGCAGGACTACTGTGCTAAGTGGTTTACACGCATCAGGTTGTATTAACTGTTATGGGGTGGGAACCTCTGTTATTTCCATTTCCAAGGATAGGGAGATTGAGACTTAGAGAAGTGAAGCCCCTCGTCCCAGGTAAGCGGCTAGTAAACAGTGGAGATGGGATTGGACCCAGGACTCCCCGGGATTGGGGGAGGGAGTGTTCGCACGCCCCAGAGCTTTCTGGGGCCTTCCTACCTGCTAGGAGGAGCCGACCTGGGTCCGGGGGAGCGCAGCCTCACCTGTCCGTCCCCCACCCCGGCTCCCAGCCTCACCTTGCCCTTGACGTCGAGGATGAAGACAGCCGAGGCAGACATGGAGGCGGCCGGCAGATCTAGGAGGCGGGGAGAGAGGTCAGGAGACGACTGTGGCGCTGCTTCCTTCTTCCTGCGGAAGCGCTCGAGCACAGGTGAGCGCCCAGGTGAGCCCATCTTAAAGGGGAGGCCGCCAGGTGAGCGGCGCTGTCGGCGTACAAGAAGACTGCGGGGTCTGGAAGGGGCAGGGCTTCGGAAGGGACCGCTGCCCTGCCTCACTTTTCCATCGCACCCAGGAGTGCTGATGGGCTGAGGCTCCAGACCGACCATCAATGCATTCATGCATCCATGCATCCATGCATCCATGCATCCACGCATCCACCCACCCACCAATCCATCCATCCATCCATCCACTTATCTTATTCCTCCTCTGTCTATCCCACACACATGTCAGCCCCAATTGGGCAGGCACTTTGTCCTGTTCATGTCTGTGTCCCCAGTGCCCAGCACTGGGTGCTCAATAATATTTGTCCAAATCATTCATTCTTTCACTCATTCATACTATAAATATTTAGGAATTATTCTTTCACTCAGATATTTACTCACTAGTACATTCTTTCACTCAGCGACAGGAACTGTGGGTTGCACTCCAAATAGGACAAATGTAGCTGCTTTTATTATTATTCCTAATGTTACTTTTATTCATTCCAAAAATATAAGCTCCTACTATGTGACATTAAGATGTTGATAGACTGTTGAAGAGATAAATGGTTACTATTATGACTATAATTATGATAATATTCATTTAACAAACATTTATTGAGCACGTACTGTGTGCTGGACTGGGCATATGGAAGCTGCTTTCATTATGGTGATGATACTGTTGATTCACTCAGTGAGTGTTTATTGAGCACCTTCTGTGTGCTAGGGCTGGCGACATAGACAAAGCCACCCCACTGCTCTCATTCTAGGGAGGGCGAGAGACACAACATAAAAACCCCAAAACAAGATGATCCCTGGAGAGGATGGGAGTGATGAGGCACTGAACTGGCAGCAGGGTTTGAGAATGTGCATTGGAGAATGAATGAGGGGCTGTGGGCAGGGAGATCAGAGAAAGGGCTGGCATTTGAAAAATTTCCTCCACCACCTAATGAGTCAGGACAACCCAAGAGAAAGATTCCCAGGGCAGAGCATGGCACAAAGCTGGTACTAGTGCTGTTTTTGTTTTTTGGGTTTAAAAAAAATTTTTTTTAATTGGGTAATTGGGGAAGGGGAACAGTGTTGGGGAATTGGGGAAGGGAAACAGCCAAGTTGTTGTCCTTCAAACTTAATTGTGGAGGGTGCAGCTAGCTCAATTCCAAGCCCAGTCGCCATCCAGTCACCTATCGGCAGCTCACAGCCACTCAGCTCAACGTGCCGTGCTTGATCTTAGCTGCAGGTGGTCATAGCCTACCATCCCATGTGGGAGTCGAACCACGTGCTCTCACCAGCTGAGCCATTCTGCCACCTGTTGGCAGCTCAACGGCAGCTCAGCTCGGACGCAGCTCACTGGCCCATTTGGGAATTGAACGGCGACCCTGTTGCTCAGAGCTCACACTCTTAACCAACTGAGTCACTTGGCTGGCTCACTAGTATTGTTTTGTTTTTTTGTTTTTTAAAGATTTTATTGGGGAACTGGGGGAGGGGAACAGCACTGGGGAATCGGAGGGAAGGGGAACAGACAAGTTGCTGTTGTTTTGTTCTTCAGTCTAGTTGTGGAGGATGTTGCTTCACTAGCCCAAGTTGGCATCATCATTGCATTGCGCTCTTCCCGGGCGAGGCAGATCAGTGGCCGGCCTCGGACAGCCACTCACGGCGGCTGCTGGCCGCTCACACTGGCTGCCGGCTACACATGGTAGCTTATGGCAACCCACTGCAGCAGAGGCTGCAGCCTACGCCGTTGCCGGCGACCCATGGCAGCCCAGCTCCAGGTCGAGCTGTTGTTCAGCATCTTAGCTGTAAATGGCAGTGTCACTGGCCCTCATATGTGGGATCTGAACCGGGGCCCTCTGGCATCCCAAGCCAGTTCCTAACCAATGCGCCACTCGACCTGCCCCCACTAGTATTGTTTTTGTTGTTTATATATGCTTGTTGAGCACATGGGCTCTGGAGGTAGCTGCTTGGGCTCAAGTCCTGGGTCTGCAACTGACCAGTTGAGTGGCCTTGGGCACCTGACCTCCTCTCCCTGGATCTCAGTTTGCATATCTGTGAAATACAATCATTAACTGCATTTTCCTAATTAAAATATAGTGCAGATTGCATGAGTTCTTACATGCAACATGATGTTTGGAGCAGTGCCTGGGATATAGCTGACAATAATGTTATTATTTGCTATTATTATTATTTACTATATGGAAGTTAAGAGCACAGGTGCTGGGTTTGAATCCTGATTCCACTATTGGCTATGGAGCATTGGGTTAGTGATTGTACTGCTTGTGCCTCAGTCTCCCCTTCTGTTGAGTGGGCATAGCAGCCATGGTGCTGCCGCCACAGGCTGTGCTCACTGAGTTCCTGGGCATAGCTCATGCCTAGTACAGTGACTCTGCTCCCTGCACATCAACTACTGTGGACCCGGGTTCCACTCCATGACTGTGTGAGCTGGGCTGCAGGGAAGTTTTGGAGAGGAGAGAAGAAAAGGGAAATTCAATCTCAGCCAGGCTGGGACCAATCCTGCTCCACAGAGCATCCTGCAGGCTTCCAAGGGGAGACACTCAGCTCTCCCAGGCTTCATTCCTCCTTCCCCAAACCCAGCCCCAGACCTTTATCAGCCGCTGCCGCTGCTGGTGGAGTGGGCCTCCCTGCAGGGGACTTGAGGAAGGGAAGAGAGAGAGCTGTGGCTCTCAGAACTGCCCACTCCCCCTCCACTGGCATCTGACATGGACAATAACACAAGAACCACAACAATAGTGCGCGTTCATTGGGCACTTATCTTCTAATATTTATTCATGTCTTTTTTTTTTAAGGTTTTTTTTTTGCTGTCTTTGACTCTGGTCTTCCCAAATATGGTTTTCCTAATAATTCAGGACCTGAGGGAAGAAGACCTGGTCTTCTCACATTGGAGGAAAAAGCAGAGGCGTGAGAAATGAAGCCACTTGCCCAAGGTCACATAGCCTGGAGGCAGAGTCAGAATTCGAATCTGAGTCTTGGTAAGCAGGGTCCCAGCCTTCACCCAACTGCTCTGCTGCATTGGGGGGTGCAAGTATTACTATGACTAACAATAGCTCATGCCTCTGTGGGGCTCACTATACCCAGGTGCTGCCCTTAATCATCTCCCATACAGGAATCCTCCATGAAGCGACACCTAGAATTAAGGAAACCTATTACCTCTATTTGACAGATAGAAAAACTGAGACTCAGAGAATGAGTGACTTGTACAAAGTCACCTGCTAGCAATGGCAGGGCTGAAATTCTAGCCCTGCAAACCCCAAGGTTTTATGCTGGCTCTGCCCAAAAGAGGGATATCCTCCATGAACCTACCAGGCCCAAGCTCAGAAGGTGACTCAGGGTTTTCAGGTGTTGCCAGCCCTTGCCCCAGCCCAGGAATCACTGAACCTCGCAAGGGCTCTTCTGGGGCCCTGAGATGTTTTCAGGCAGTAAATAGGACGCAAAAGCCGGGGCCAGGCTCCCTGGAATCTGAAACTCAAGACCTGTTTGGCTGAAAAATTTATGAGCCCAAAAGCTTCAGTGGGGTCAGAGAACAGAGCTTCTCTGTGTGAACAGCTGCCCCGCCTCAGCTGCAACTTCCTCTGTCCCCAGGGCCTGTGGCCTTGCCCCAGTTCCTCCTACGTGCCTCCCCTCAGGGTCCCTGCTTCTAGGCACCCCATTCAATCTCTTCTCTACATCACTAAAGGAATCTCTCTGAAACTCACAGCTCTTACCACTCACCCTCACTCTCACATCTCTTGTGGCTCCGCATTGCCCAGAGCTGCCCTGCCTGGCGCAATCCGACCCCTGATGACCTCTCCCATGAGGCACCACTTGAACCCACTGACCCAGACACACTGACTACCCTAATTTCAGTTCCTCTCTGCCTTTCTGTCTTTCCTCTGGCACCTGACCACTCAGTGCACACCTGCCCCTTTTTGCTTTCTCTACCTCATTCTCACTCTGCTCTCAGGTCTCTTTTTCAGGAAACCCTCTCTGACCGCCCACGCCATGTCTAGGCCAGATCCCTCCTCTGGGCTTTCCCAAGCGTACCCTGTCACCTGCCTTGCACCTTATTTTTTAAAATCTATTTTAAAAAAACTTTTAGGGCCGGCCGAGTGGCGCGATGGTTAAGAACTGACTTGGGGGCCGGCCGAGTGGCGCGATGGTTAAGAACTCGCTTGGGATGCCAGAGGGCCCCGGTTCGGATCCCACATATGAGGGCCAGTG